GAGGGTTGTTGATTTTTCTTTCATTTCTTCTATTAGGGCCTTGGAGGTGGTTTGATGAATCAATGCTTGACTGTTGCGAGCCACTGGAAGTAGTGAAGGATAAGGGGATTTCTTTTGGAAAAGTTGTTTGTTTGGCTCATTGTTCTGGAGCAAAAGTCGAGGCTTTCCGTACAAATCAGAGCTCCATTGATGATTTCCGTAAATCTGTAGTGAAATGTTCGACTTCTGATAATTGTCATATGATCTCAACTTATCATAGAGGGGTATTTAAGCAGGTAACTTTCTGCGGCATAACTTTGGAAAATTTGCACTACACTATCTGATATTCATATCTCGGTTTTAAAACTTCTGGAAGCAACCAACTTTTGAGTGTTAGTTGCCATGATGATCTGGATTCTAACAAATCTTATCGCAGACTGGCTCTGGTCACTTTTCACCTATCGGTGGCTATAATGCTGAAAGAGATATGGCTTTGATTCTTGATGTCGCCCGTTTCAAATATCCTCCTCACTGGGTTCCTCTTAAACTTCTTTGGGAAGCCATGGACAGCATTGATCAGTCAACAGGCAAACGTAGAGGGTACATAATCAGTTTTGATCTTTTCCTTATCTCTTCCCGTATCATGAAAAAGTATTAGTTCTTATGATATGCTCTGCTGTTCTGTGTTGTGTTCAGGTTCATGCTTATATCTAGACCCCACAGAGAACCAGGCTTGCTCTATACTCTGGTATGTCCGCTGCAGTGGAGTTTCTTTAATGTTTTCTACTAGTTTGTTCTTCATGATGCATATTCCGTTGATGAACTTCTCATTGAAAACCTTTACGTTAGTCTCCATATGAAGACAACCCAAGTATTTACAAAACTGTTTTTTTTTTTGTAAATTTGATTCCCTTATTTGCCTGAATGAATAAGAGAACATCTCTTCCACATGCATCGAATGATCCTTGGTACATATCATTGCTTGTCAACTAAATTGGATCAGTGATAATTTTGCTTATCTATTTCAGAGCTGCAAGGATGAAAGTTGGACAGGCATAGCCAAGTATTTGAAGGAAGATGTTCCTCGTCTCGTAAGTTCACAGCATGTAGACAGTGTGGAAAAAATCTTATCAGTTGTGTTCAAGTCACTTCCGTCAAACTTCAACCAATTCATCAGATGGGTGGCTGAGGTCCGAATAACAGATGACACAAACCAAAATCTCAGCGCAGAGGAGAAATCAAGGCTGAACTTAAAGGTATTTTCAGTACAGATTCTTCAATGTAAAGTTGCCGAAACTCAAAAGTTGCATGAAAAAAGTGTCCTTACTTTGTAAGAGCACTGACTAATGGGAAGTCACACTATGAAAACATATGTAATTGCACTTTGTAGGTTATTATTTGAGACATGATAGGAGTAGAAAAATTTCTAATTTCTTCATTGTTAGTTAGCAGTATTTGTTCATTCTTTCATTTTCCGGCGATACTGTGGCTGTTCCTTTGGACACTGACTTTTTGTTGTCTAATATCTATTTAATCTACTTGCAGCAAGTTGTGCTGAAAGAAGTGCATGAAACTGAACTGTTCAAACACATCAGTAAGTTCTTAACCTCAGTGGGTCACGAAGAGTGTCTATCATATGCAGCTGCAAAGGCTTGTTGCCAAGGAGCTGAAATTTTATCCGGAAGCCCATCAAAAGAGTTCTGTTGTCGGGAAACTTGTGTGAAATGTGTCAAAGGTACGTCACCTAGTCAGTGTTTCAACTCTTCAAATGTTCTTACATGCTAGAGAACTTAACTGTTATATGAGGCTTTGACCCGGGACTAGAACAAGTAGTAATTACTAATTAGCAATTTCAACTGTTATTTTCCCCCCAATAAAGGTCCTCAAGAGACAGAAGGCACAGTGGTGACTGGAGTCGTGGTGCGTGACGGAAGTGAACAAAAGGTTGAACTATTAGTGCCATCGACCCAAACTGAATGTGAATGTGGTCCAGAGGCAAACTATCCAGCCGGGAACGATGTATTTACTGTACTTCTGCTGGCTTTACCTCCACAGACATGGTCAGGGATCAAAGACCAAGCTCTCATGCACGAAATGAAGCAGCTCATTTCCATGGCTTCCCTCCCAACTATGCTTCAAGAAGAGGTAACCTCTTTACCCATTTCTCGGTATCATCATAACACAAATGCAGAGAATCTTCATTTCTCGGTATCTTCAAGAGAAGAAACAAACCTAAGTTAGGTCTGAGAAGTTACTAGTTTCGAGTTCATCTTCGGGATATAACTCAAGAAAATGCAGAGAATCTATGTGATTGGTTAAATCGAATATGTGAACCGGATAAGTAACATGATGAATTTGGGGTTATTTACAGGTATTGCATCTTCGACGCCAACTTCAGCTGCTTAAACGATGCCAAGAGAACAAGGAAGAGGAAGATCTCGCTGCTCCTGCCTATTAGTCTCTTCCCCATTTGAATCCCATTTCCTCAAAAACTAAAACCCCAATTGTTAGAATAAGTCTCTTTATTCTCTGTATGATTCAAACTTGAGAGAGATTTGTAACATATGCATTCTGTATTATACCAAAGTTATTAAACCATATTCATAACACTCTACTACAAGATTACGAATCAACTCTCCACACACACAAACACAAAAGCTTTTTACATAATCCTAAAGAACCTCAAAAGTCTACACCTTTTCCTTATTATCATTACCATTCCAAAGATCGAATCCTGCGTAAAAACCGCGGTTGCTGCTGCTGCGGTTTCTCAACCACAGGAATCACAAACTCCATTAACTTCTGGTACCTCTCTTTCCTCTTCTCTTCGATTTCTTTCGAAAGCATTTCGTTCTCTTCCTCGAGTTTCGCTGCCAATGATTCCAACTCAACTTGATAAGCTTGTTTCCTTTCTCTTGACCTAGCAGCAGATTCACGATTCTTAATCATCCTTCTCTGTCTTTGTGCAGCTGCTTTATCCAATGGCTCAACCATTACTCTAGCTCTCTTCCCTCTCGTTGTTCCTCCTCCTCCTCCACCGTAAACATCGAAACCATTCCCAAACGCAACAATCGATCCTTCTACTTTATCAATCATCTGAAACGGATTATGCGGTGGTGCTGAATGATCGAATCCGTAATTAAGCCTCTCCGGCGGAATCTTCACATCGAGATCATCCGATTCTCCATTACCTATCGCCGCGGCGTCTTCCACCGCAGCTTTCGCTAGAAAATCCTCTAAAGTCATTATCTCTTCCTGTGTTTCTTCTTTCATACCTTTACTTTCTCCTGATACGATCTCTCTCCAGACCTCATCAACACTCTTCCCACGCGCCGTCTCATTTCCTCCGCCACGGTCTCTGTTACTCGGATCGATATCGGAAACCACCGTCGTTATCTCCATTGGTGTAGGAGTATGAGTATCCATCAGAGTTATCGACGAGTCTAGTAGTGTAGATTCCGTTGCTGGTGGATCAGATGCGAAAGTATCATGCAGAATCCCTTCCACCGTCATCGTCGGAGTAGTAGAACCGCATCCGTCGTTTATTCCGCCGTAACCGCCGCCTGAAGTGTTGTTGAGATCTCGCCTGAACTGCTGTTGAGGTCTTATAGAAGAAGATGAAGATGAGATACGACGAGATAGATCCGGGTTTCTAGAATTCGAAGAACGCATCACCTTAAAGGACGCCATTTTCTGGAGAGATATTGAAGAAGAAGAAGTCAGTTTGCCTCCTCTCTCGCCGGAATCGGATCAGAGAAAATATCTCGAAGTTTCTTTGACTCAGCACAAAACAAAGTAATTGCAAAGTAAAAGGTACTCGAAACAAGACATCGAGAGATAATTTAGGGTTTTTGGTGTCGAATTGTGAATTTAAAGAGAGTTTTGGTAATTTAATCAAAATCCGTTTTCTCTTAAACAGTAATCTAATTGACTATTTTTATTTATTTAATTTAATAAAGCACAGAGGATTTGGAAAATCCCACGCGCAATCAAGCGCGTGAGTTGCACGTTTCGGTTTCTCTAGTTTTACTCCAGCGAAATTTTTTTTGGCAACACGATAAGATTTTTGTAAAGTGGCGCGTGGGAAGTTTTATTGGTCTCGTGTCATATCATCATATGGTTGGCAAACTTTTAAACATCAATTATTTTTGAAGATCATTATTAGTTGCATGCATATAATTAATTAACTTACGAAAGGTCGTAAACGATAAAAGAGAAATAAACAAGAGACATTAATTACACGTTTTAAACTCATCTTACAAAAATACAAATCATGTAAATCAACTGACAAAAAAGGTTTTGGACAATATTATACACTTTACCAATAAACACAAGAAAAGAAAGAGTAGTGTTTTTCCTGTATCTTGCTGAGTGAGTCATAAAAAAACAGTAGGCTTATGTCAATCAACAAATATTAGTTTGCACAGAATTTTAGTACTAACTACTAGTAATTATAATTCATATCATATGTACAAAAGTGCAGCTCAAACTATCAGGATGAGAAAAATATAATTCAAAGATTTGTACACTTTTTTTCCCACACAAAAAAGGAAGTCTTTTACCCTTTTTGTACATAGTTCTTCTGATTTTAATCATAAAACAGTTGTTGTTGGTTCCATAAAACACTATAAACCGACGTATACAACAAATGTACATAAACTGAAAAAGGGTCCAACCTGAAAAACCTAAGCACGACAAACATTTCATGAAATGACTGATCATCCTCGGAGACAATGGTGGTTGCCAATCTTTTAGGTGGAAGGGATCGGCTTTCATGGTTGTGTCTGAGAGTTGTTTCCGAGGCTGATATCGGCCAAGAAGATCCAACCTCTTCTTCTCCCCAAGAAACTAGCAAAAAGCAAAGAAAACGTCTTGAGGAAAGATACAAGATTCATTTTGTTTGGATGAGACATGAGAGCATCTATAATACCTTCTAATGTACCAAAGAACACAAACTTTTAGCATCAACGAATTGATTTTGTGATTTCCTACACATTGAATTTAAGCAACTTTGACACTGAGCGATGTGGAACTTATATTACCTCTTATGAAGTCACTAAAACGGAGATTCGAGTGGTTCATCCCAAACATCTGCACTCCCATTCGAGACTTCCTCCACATCTTCCTCCATTGACAACCTCACATACTCTCTCTGAGCAAATCGGTCCCATTCTGTCAATGTTGGATTCTCCCGTTCCTATGAAATGGACATACAAAATTGTTATAGTAGCAGCGAATGGAACAGTCACAACTGACTGCAGTAGCAGTTGGAGTTTCATAATTTTCTCTTGGGTTATGATAGACTATTTAAGACTCTTGGAACTTTTCACGAATTGGTATAAGCATTAATAAATATTCGGTAGCAATAGTTTCAACAGCTATTAAACCAAGGATTCGATAAATAAAGGGAGAATAACTCCATCGAAAAGCTATGCTTACCTGGCGAATGAGAAAAGGGTCACGGGTTTCAAACGCCATGAATTTGTTCAGGTTGAAGAGTATATTGAACATATTTCCAGAAAGTTTGCATGCTTTCAGATCCCGGAGTGTGATGCAGTTCTCTTTCTGAAAGAGTCACTCAACAAATTCATGTTTCAACAAAAAAACACCCGGGAATATCAAAAGACCATGTTACGGTTCGAAAGAACTCTTACCTCTGGTTTAATCATGTCAAATATTTGACATAGGATATCCTCAAAGAGTACAGGTTCCTGGGTTATGCATTCCATGCGATGCAGCTGCTCTTCATAGAAAAACTGCATTTCGTTGGGAGTGATCACCCCATCTCCAACCAGGTCTATGCACTTGAACCTGCAAAGATGGTTTTAATCAATATCCAGGGGAAAAAAACACAGAGACACCAAGATCCTGTGTTTGACATCCAATGCAGATAGATGAGAACACCAGCTAGGGATGCACTCAAATCAGCGGTTCAAAAGAAGTGTTTGAGATTCATGAAATAATAAATGAAAAACATTTCAGAAACAAGGTATATCAGAAGTTTTGGCTCAGCAGTTGTACATTTATATAGACATGTTGTGAGCTAAGCAGCTAAAAGACAAAATGGATGAAGAGAAGTTGGTAAAGAAAAAAAAAGAGGAATGGGAGAGATGTGTACCAATACTCAAGACTAGGCTCAGATGACTTATCCTCCTCAGCAAGAATGAAGTACGCAAAATCTTCATAACTCATCTTCCCCTCAACTTTGCTCGTAAATTTCCTAGGGACCTAAGGGAGAGACACAGCCATAAAATAAATCCACATAGAATGAAACTTATCCCAAAAGACTATAATTAAGCTTCGAAAAAGAGTGTTCAGTCAAGAACATTTTGACATCTTGAGCCAACCTGTGAAAATATTCTGTCGACAATCCTGTAGGTAAGGGCATGGTTACCATACTTGATGAGATTTTCCTTATCAATAAGGAAATCATGGTCGCCATCAAGTTCCCAAAATCTGCAGTATATAACGTAGAAATGCTCATAGGAGAAGTACCTGGAAAGCAAAGAAAATGTCATATTTAATGGTCAGATCATGCATAATGTTCTGTCTCAGAATCATTACGAGCTACCCATACACTTCTTATCCTATATGAGTTTTACGGGGAGTGCTTATGTCTTAAACAATATGAAGACCTATGCACTACCCATATACAATGCTACGCGTTCTGACCTTGAATTCTTAAGGATATATATAAAATATTGAACGTGGGAAAAAAATTAAATACTGTTTAAGAAATAATGATAGGGAAAACATAATCACCTAATAACTTTATTGATGTCGTCTTCTTCATCAACTTGTTGCATGGCAGCAATAAGATTCCCACGTTTCAGCTCTCTAAGAGTAATGCAACCAGTTCCTGATCTGTTTATGTAGTAAAATATTCTGTAGATGACGGTCTCAGCTGGGTAGATGGGAAAGAACACAATGATGAATGAAAGAAGCACATGAGAAAACATGATTTAGTCAAGTATTAAAACATGATTTAGTCAAGGATAGAAAACATGTTTCAAAACAGTATGCACCTAAAATTTTATATATTTTTGTAACATTTCCTGACTCTCAAGAAACAATTATAATGGAAGCAATGTCCCTTAGAATTAACATCGGAAGATGTATATGTATTAGCGAGGACAGCTAAAGAAGTCACTTTCAAGTTCGTCAATGTGTTTAAAAGATCAAATAAATATATGGAAAGAAAATTATATGACCTCTTGATATTTAGTACCATAATGGAAAGAAAATTACAGACAATCTGGTAAACCTCTTGATATTTCACACCATAACATCAATATATCGTAAGCTAACTGATTTCTTACCATATCTTTCTTGAAATTCAGGTGTATTCCGAAGAAATTCCAAGCCAGGATGAGTTGCCAGAAGCTCATCAAGAACTGGTTTGAAGTCAGCCTATCCCCAAATCCAAGAGAAGAACAGAAGTCTTCAGAACAATGGGTAAAAGAACACGAGAGAGATAATAGTCTTTGATATACAAATCAGAACAGCAGTGAAGAACAAATGGGAAAAGAATGAAAAAGATACCTGTCTGAGGTACTTGCAGCCTGGCTGCCTTAAAATATTATATATCTGTGAGGCTAAGTCCATCGTCAACATATGACCATCGACCCAATACTTGATAAAGGCATCCCTGAGGGTCAACATTTTATTCAGGAACAAAATATGGTTTATGCAGCATAATACAAGCATGCATATGAATACATAAACTCAACTACTATAATTGCGCATTTAAAAAGAAAGTACACAATGAGTTACCTTGTAACGATACCAGTGCAATTTGTATCTATCTTTTTAAAAAGTACAGAAGAAAGAAAAGAAGGCAGCTTGCATACTTCTTTTGTAAGGGATTTGAATTCTGCAATTGGAAAAGAGCAACAATGTGTTTGTAAGATCAACTGTTTGGCTATTCCTTACAGAACGAAAATGCACTGTAGAAAAGTATGAATTGAAACATCACCATCCATATGAAGTCCATCAATATAGTTACTACAATAATGATCAACCATGGAAATACATTGCTCCTTTAGTTCTTTTGCAGGTGGACGCCCATGTTGGAAATAAAACTGCATAGCATATCAAGGCATTTATTAGCTAAACCCTTCAACTACAAACTGTCATATGTAACGGATCACCATAATAAACTTACCCTTTCTCACCATTTTACGAAAAACAAAAATTTGCTTTTATTCTACTTAACAAAAGAAAAAAGTTTCTATTAGTTTTGTGCTCATGGTTCTACTTCTACTTAGAAAGCTATTCTTTCAAAGACCAATCATGTGAGCATACATAGAAAAACATTATAACAGCAAGCAAGGCAGTGTCTTCTCCTGTCACATGTGAGAAATCTAAGTGTAATATAAAACATCTCTATAAGGAACGGCTGGAAATAGAATGAAACCTGAGGAATGAGTGGGAGCTTTGGTTCCCTGACTGATTTCAGAGGAGACTGTAGAGAAGAAGGGCTTGTCTTTTGCCTCGAGAAGCGGGGAGACCCAGACGAGCTTCGTGGGGATAGTGGGGGAGTGCCACTGTTCAGAAACACAGAAGGCAAAGCACTTCCGCAAACAACATTGAGATTGGCACAATTCTTAGATACGTTGACTAGGGTACTAGATTTTGCATCATCAATCATAGACTTGACCTGCACAAAGATCACGCAGATCAACTTCCAAAATAGGGTCACCTAACCATAAACAAATACTTTCACCAAAAACTACCTTTCCCAGATGATTGATTCCCCCCCCATAACAAATTCAACAAAACAGGTGCTTTAAGAAGTTTCACACATTCTCTCTTAATCTAGCACTAAGTAAAATAAACTAGACTCCAGTATACATAACTCGCGTGGATTCAGAAACAGGAATAAGCAAGTAGGGCCATACGCCTACAGAACATGTACGGGAAATCAGATGAGCTCGGAACAATTTTTTTGTTGCGATGGACTCAAGCACAGGTATCATCATACAAAAACAAGCACAAACAACTACTACTGATGCTAAACCCCCTGATATGAGCCAAAGCTCAAGTGGATTAAATGGGCCATCAAATGATCTGTCAACTCGATAAACAGAAGCGTTTATATACATTAATGGGCAAAGAAGCAGATTAAAAAAAGAAGTAAGAACGAGAGGCTTGGAAAATGAAATTACCAATCGGCCAGTTTCCGGGAGTGAAAGCCACTGAGAGAAAAGCTCCTCAGCAATATGAAGGTTTGCTTTAAGCGATGAAGGAGACAAACCCGGAAGCTGCAAGAGCTCAGGATCCAAAAAAGGAACATCATTTACACCATCGATCTCCATGATCTTCGAATTCTTCGAGTCAATTGGATCGCTACCACAGAAACCCTAACTTCTGAGATTTCTTCCGACACTTTTGAAAGCAGTAACACCACAAACAGAATCCTCAAGAGTTTTCAAAACCCAATAGAAATCCAGAGTTCAACAAACGTGGCTCAGACTAATCAAACTCTAAAAATAAGAAAGAAAACGAAACGATACGATAAAGCCTAGGTTCCAAGTTCTATTAACAGGCGAAAACAGATTACAAAATCTCACACAACTACTTCTTTCTGCAAATTCGAATACTACTAAGTTTTCTTCGTCGAGGAGGTTGAAGAACTTGGCAGATCAAATGAACACTGA